TAGGACATTTATAGTAAATTTAACTGGCACTGAAGAAACCTGATATATAGTATAAGAGAAAAGAGAACAGCCTACAAAACCAAAAATACATCGATGAGATGGTACATTTGTATACAGCTGCTACCTTCCCTAACCCCCACTCCACTTCCATTGGAAGTAACCACTCCTTCTCCTGGATTTCCACATTTCATCTCTCTCCTAGTCTTACGTCATTTGTTTTCCTTACATATTTTATCCCCCAGGTAGACTATACTCTCCTCGAGGGTAACATCATGTCTGATTCATCTTTGCAAAAGTCAAGGCATTCAATCATTCATTTGACAAATATTTACTAAGTATGTAATAGGCACCAGACACCATACTATAAACTGGCACTAAATATTGTTTAAATTGTTTAAATATTGTTTAAACAAATGTTGACTATAAGGCAGAAAAAAATAAACAAGTTCAAAAAAGAATCCAGATAAATTCTTCTATCATAATTCCACAGGGGATTAAGAAGGGAAACTACAAATATTCTATTCGGAGTTTAGTCATAAGATACATCTACCTGTGTACTGTCACAGCAAGAATGCAGGACGGTAGATCCACAACAAAACATTTCCTCTGTATGGCCTACCAAGTATATTAAGTATTTCCATACAGAGAAGAACATTCTCAATCCTAAAAGAAAACTGATAATAATGATTTAACCAGACATAATCTTATGCCAGAGTCCCCTAAATAAGACCCATGAGATGGGTCTTTATCAGTCCACGAGTGGTAAGCTGTTTTAAAAGTTTGATATATTCATTCATTCACGTGCTTAGTACCTACCAGGTCATATAGTGTCCTCGGTTTTTAAAAGACTATCAGGACACCCCAGGATCCCTCTAAGAACTCAAACAAAAGTTCAGCATAGGTGGGGGGAACAGGGAGGGGAGGAGTGTTCGTTTTACGAAAAATACCCGTGTTGAAATTGAGATGCCAACAACGTAAAAACGTGTCATGATACATTTTATTCAGGTTGTTTTTAGTCATTCCCTGGATCATCCTTAATGGTGTTTGAAAGGGTTCCCTCATCCTCAATTTATCTCACTTAAAAAATAAAAAAATTTTTAAAAAAGAGCCCCTAAAAGGTCCACCACTCCCACTCCAATATTCTGGGAAAATAAAGTGCATGAAGGATAATTTAAATTCCGTTTGGCTTTTTTCTTTAAGGAACACCCCAGGATAGAAAGGCAGGAAAAGGAAGAACAAAAATTGAAAACGGATGTGTGCCTTCAAATCCACAGTCCTTCTACCATTCTTGTATTTGAGGCTGTGGCCATTCACAGGTGGTTGAAAGTGTCCACAGTTGCATCATCTGCAACTCGCTGGCAGGAGTCTCCGGACTTCGAGGCCGTAAGGGTTACACCCAGAACCCCAGGAAACACGACGCCTCGCAAGGGAGCTCTGCTACAGGCAACCAATAGATAAACGTTGCTTTCACCAGACTTTCCCTACCAACCCCAAACAGCGTGCTTTTGAGAAGGCCTGGGGACCCTAACGGAGGGCACTGCCCCTAAAGTAAAGACTGTAAGGCGGGGCTCCTTCCTCTAAGCCCAACGCCAGAGAAAAAGGGGGGAACTGCGGGGGCACTGGGGTGGGGCTTGGGGGAGGCAAGGAGGGAAGGAGAAGGTGGGCAGGGTGAACCCAGCTAACCCTTCTCCCTTCCAAAGCGGAGATCGAGCCGCTGCCCGCTGTCCCCTGACCCTGCCTCCTGCCTCCCTCACCTGATCACAGAGATGAGCAGCCCCGAGGGGTCTTTGCTTTTGCTGACTGTGCTTCTGTATTTCCCACCAGCCGCTTCTGCCGCCATCTTGGTACGTGGGTAGAGCCCGTGGGCTCGAAAGAACCAAAGCCAACGCAAACTGTATTTGACCACGTTGGAGTCTCCACCAATAGGAAAAGAGAACTCGGAAGCCCGGAAGTAAACCATCCAATTACCGGA